TTTTCTAATATATTATATTTAGCATACATTAAAGACATTTCTAGCACAATACAAATGCCAGAATCTGCGGCCTATCGATAGGCGATTGTTGCTAATACGAATTTCAGTTGCACGACAAACATTTTCACGTCGCCGCGCAGCCGATTTTCAGTCGTGAAAAGTTGTCTGCGCCGCTTGGTCTGTGCGCCGAATGCTTATTGTGGGCTGCGGTCAAAATGTGTTTGCCGTGTTCATTTTTCATTCGTTGCGCATACGCCACATGCGCCGCGCGTCTTGTGAGCGCTTAACAAGTGTTTTCCGTCTTCCAAGTGACAAATTCAAGTCAAATGGGCAATCAATTTTGTAAAACTGACTAAACAAACACACAAATTATGTAAATAGAAAAGAAAAGTGTATCTAATGAGCCTGTTGTGAAGTGTCGTAGATAAGAGTTCAAAGTGCGTGTGGACTGTTTGTAACTAAACGCACAAATAATCTACATAAAACTCAACTAGTGTTGGGAGAGCACCCGTAGGTGGTTTATAAATAATATGACTAACAATTAATTAACATTAGCTTATCAACAGATTAGGTACGGCAAATGCTCAATTAATTTGCTCAACACCTTGTCGCATGTCGCAATATTTCATGGGCTGTCACACGCTTGAAACGTTTGAATAGTTTTTCCTCCGGTTTTATTGTCGTCTGCGATGGCTCGCAAAGCTGTTTTATGCGCCTTCATAATTTAGAAAACAATTTTGATACAGATACACATACATTCTATATAGCAGATTCTGTGTGTGTAGAGCGGAACAGTAGGAATTGTTTATGAAAATCACAGAAAGCTTAACGCAAAGTCAAAAAGCAAAACATTAACCCACACACGCCGACGAATCGGTCATGGAACGGCTCGACTCTGCTCTGGCATCAGTCAATGTCAGTTGGCTGGCTGCCAGCCGAGGGACGCGCGGGGCATGCAGCCGAATGGAAAGAAAGAAAAAAGGGAAAGTGTGCGACGACATGTTCATGCAGTCGAGTGGATTGGAAAATTTTAGATGCGCTACACTCGCCCCGAAAAGTTGCTCAATAACAACAAAGCAAATTTTCCAAGCACATTTTCAATTGTTCCATTTCAGATGTCAAGTATCAAGTGGCATAGATATACATACTTATATCTGCCATATATACTTATATATTGAAAACATATGTTGCCTGGCATATTTTATCTATTATTTAAATTATTTACTATTTATTTATACTCATGGCATTGGCCCAAGTGCAGAATTTATGGCTGTCATTTCTGTTCGGAAAACTTTTCAAGTTTATGCTTAAATCTCTGCTGGAATTGTGCAATAATTGGCAATGATATGCGTTGACATACTATGTAAATATCTGAAATTGGCGAAGGCTGTATACTTGAACGAGTTTTAAATGGGGCTATGAAGAGTGGGCTGCCTTTTGATATCATTTTTTATAGAGTTCTGTCTCTGAGATGTTAAATCGTTGGGTAGAAAATTCACTTCAGGTTTTTGGAATTACAGCTATCAAAAATTTGTCTTGTTTGTTATTATAGAGAGAGAGGGGCATTATACATATATGAAGAACTATTCCAAGTTATAATATATGGTTTTTTTAAATACCCATTCAGGAAAGTGAAATGAGTATATTGCTTTTTTGCAGTGTCCGTCTTGCTGTACGCGCCTCTCTAAAAGAGGAGTTAGAAATTAGAAAATTCTAGAGATTAGGGTATATACCCGCGTCAACTAGAATATATACTCGCATGGAGCAACCAAGATCATAATAATATAGCTGATCTCTTCTACGCCCACTGTGGGCGGGGCAAGGCAATTCCGAGCAAAGCAAATCAAACAATCTATATCTTTCTAGCTGAACTGTGTTATGACCGTGAATGAGTATTCTGCAGTCGTTAGCATCCGACCGAAACATTCTTTTAATATTATAAAAGTTCATAACTTTTGTTGAGTTAACTTGAAGTTATTCCTTATTCGGTAAGCTTTCCTACTGACAAACGGCTTCAACTGTCTGTGAGTGAGCTTCGTGCTATGCGTTGCATGTATTGCATGCATGCATTGTAATACTCTGTTCTTATCGATAATAGACTAACTGAAATCAGTCAGTCAAACAGTAAAAATATGTTGGCTCCCAAGGCTAACTGAGACTGAGGCCATCAACCTAAGGCAACAATACAAGATGTCGAAAGCGTTGCAACTGGCAGCGATAAGCCTCAAGCATCGCCTGACCTTGCCGTTGGAAAGCTTTGAGTGGCATGATTGCACTTGACTTAAGTAATATGATTCTGCTGTTACTTCATATGAAAAGCTCTGAAAGGAGTAGGATTATTGGCTCAATCGCTCTTTTGAAAGCATACGTATTCTCTCCTTATACGTTCATCTATTGGAGTATTGTTAATATATAGCTGTATGTCTAATATTTCGATCAAAACAGTGTGCTTCGCTTATTTGCATTCCCCATTGAATGCTCAATATCTCATGCAATTTATCAGAGATTCGCATCTATTAATTACTTGCACGCATTATAATAATATAGCGGGGTTAACACACATATTTATTATGGATATGAAATGTATATAGTATTTATTTTGTTTATAGCTGAATTGATCGAATCCGATTTGGTTTTCTTACTGCATCATTTCCGTTTGTGGGTTTTTGCTTATCTTTCAATTTGCTGCCAAAACGCAAAGCTCAAGCTTCGCGTCCTCGCCCCCTACCACTCCATATCTCTCGCTCTCTTCCTCTTTCTCCCCCTCTCTCTCTTATTCTGGCATCGATTGACGTTTTCCAAATTTTCGTGCAATTTGCATGTATTTTTAGCTTTTATCTATTTTGAAAATAAATGAATTTCAATGGAAGCAAAATACGCGCAAATTGCGCCGCAAAAGTTAGCGAAAATCTCTGTGCCCCATCAATTAGTGGCACAATCAAATGCAACACGCCAGCTTGTTGCCGCTGTGGCATCCACTTATAAAACACACGCTGCCTTTTCAGCTGCTTTCGCCTCATTGATGGTGACGTCAATGTGCGCGTCGTGGCCCTACAATACGCCTGCTTTATAGTAGATATATAGATACATGTAGATATATGCCGATATAAGTATATTTATATGTATGTATATGTGTCTGCATAGGTGTATTACTGTCTCTAATTTTAGCGATCTTTACGCTGCTCGGCCTCTCTTTGCGGAACTTTGCGATTTTTATACTTTTATTGCTGCCTATAATTGGTCTGTTTATGTGCGCGCCCTGAACTTGAAACGATTTACAACATCAGCGTGCTGCATGCTGCATGCTGTATGCCGCATGTTGCGGCCAGAGTGAGCACATTGCATGCTGTTGCAACACAGCTAGAGCTGGGCTGCGTTAGTTTTTCCTGGGATTATTATGATGTTATATAGTCGCGCTGTTGCGGTAATTAGATTTATTTTTGTCACGTTGCCGCAATTTGAACTTTGGCGCAGAGTCGAAGTGCCCGCTGACTCAGTGCAGAGCGAAGACACTGCAAGAAAATACGAGATAGTTGATGCAAAAAATATATACGTATTTAGATATATATGTATACATAAGTGCTTTTTGTACTTCAATATTTGATATCGCATATATGTAGAGAGAAGGAGTGAGCAATAGACGGAAGGAAGAGAAGAAAGAAGGAAAAGCAGGGAAAGGAGCACAATTGAAAATGGATATAGAGCGCGAGAGATAGAAAAAACGAGGGAGCAAAAGAGATTGAGATAAAAAAAGAGAAAGAGATAAAGAAAGAAAGAGAGAGAAAAAAACAGATGAAAGAGGGATGGAAATTACCATATATATAAAGGGAGAGAGAAAGATAAAGAAAAAGAGAGAAAGATAGAGAAACAGTGAGATAAAGATGGTGAAGATACAGAAGAAAGGAGAAAGGAAGAGACAGAATAAAGCAGAATGAGAAAAGATAAAGAAACGAGATGAGAAGCGCAGAGAGAGGAAAGAGATTGAAAGAAACGGAAAATATAGAGATAGTAGAGAAAATGAGCAGGAAGGGGCTTCCAATGACAGAGCGAAAAAAAGAACTAGATTCAATAACAAATAAACAGTCAACTATTCAAAATATTCGATAGAGGCACATATACCACATTTTGATATGTACAGGGGAATTAGGAAAATGTGAGAGCGACAAAAAAATAAATAAAAAATGTCAAATAGCTTAATGGGCAGACAAACAGGAAGCAAGCGCCACAGATATCGTGATGCTCGAGAATAAAACCAAAATAAAAGAGAAAAACAAACGCAAGCATATATTATGATGGATATTTATATATGCATATAATTTTTATGGGCAATTAAAATGTTTTCTTTGAGGCAATCGTTAGCCATGTCTCTTTTGACCTGACTTACGCCCACTTTTGGCGCCATGTACATATGTAAGCTGTTGCCATTCCACTGGCAGCTGAGCGCAGATATGGAATGTGGGCTTTGCAATGGTGAATGGGCACAGCTCATGCTCATTGTTGTTTTCGATGACACATAATGATAAAATCGAACAATTAGCCTTTAGCTCTCAACACATCAATTAATATTCATAAGCAGACTAATACAGCAGTAAATCTATAGCTATAAACATGCGTGTGAATGTGTGTGTAGATATTTATTTTTTTTTTGCTATGCAATACAATCGCAATTAAAATTAATTATGCCATATGTCTTTTTGTCAAGTGTAGCTCATGCGTCTCGTTTGCTCATATTTGTCCAGCGTTTGTCATCGCAGTTCCAGTTCCAGTTCAGCCGTCGGTTCAGCCGGTTCAAAAGCAACGAACGCATCGCACAGTCACTGTGTATGTGTGTGTGTGAGTATGTAGTGTAATAGATGTCTAATGCTAATTAGTTAGTCTCTAGTCACATATGCAAATGTAAATAAATACTTATTATTTAAATCAACAGGTTGCGACACTGAAATAAGCGATAAAAACGATTTGTTTATAAACGAAATAACGAACAGCAAAAATTGGCAAATGTGAAAAGTTGCCGACAGAGGAAGAAGCAAAGCAGCAAAGCGATGGACATGCATTCAAATGAAAAATAAAAGCGATTTCAAAGTGCACATATATTTTGGCAAAGTGTGTGTGAGTGTGCAACTGTGTGTGAACGAAACAAATTGACGAAAATGTTTAATTTGCTGCGACGCACGCGTCAAAGAAAAGCGCAGAAGAACAACAAAAACTACGATGTAAGCGACGAAGAGGAAGCAATACAAACGAAAATAACAACAACAGCGACAGCAAGTGGTGCGGCTGCTGCTGCGGCTGCCAGGACCAGAGAGCAAGAGAGCAGTAATGCTAGCGAGAGCCGTTGCCTATTCAGCGCCAGAGAGCGCGACGCTGAGCGAGCAAGAGCGTGCGAGCAAAAGAGCGAAATGCGTTTGCCTACGCAGGCAGCGCGACGCGCTGTGATCGAAGAGCTGGAGGACTTAAGCAGCGACGAGCACGACGAAGAGCGGCAAAGTGTAAATTTAGCTAAAACAGCTGCGCCGACAGCAACAGCAACAACAACAGCAATAACAACATCAGCTAATGGCCATTCAGCGATCTCTTGGCGCTCCGACAATTTGAATATAAATAACATGGGCGCAGGCAATGGGGCGACGGCGACGAGGACAACGTCTGTTGTTGTTGATCATGATGATGATGATACTGATGTAGACGATGATCGAAATGGTGGCGGTGCTGCTGCTGTTGCTGCTGCTGGGCATGGCGGCGCGACCAGTCCAAACGAGTCAGCCAGCGCGAACGCAAAAGCAAATAACGTCGACGGTCGGCCAATTGGCATTATTAGTACGAACATTGGCCAAACGAAAAAACGCCACAATAACGGGCCAATTACCGATGGCACGGTAATTGACGCGAGCGATACGGTGATATATCGCAGCGCATCGAAGCAATCGAACGAATTGAAACGACAATCGCGCCTATCGCTGGGCAACATTGCGTTGCATTTAGGTGGCAACAGGGACAACATTAACACTGCCGCAGACGATACGGCGGTGCAGAAGAAGCGCAAAGCGTTGCAGAAGAGTCGCGATTTTCTCACAGATATTTTCATGGCGCGTGGACGTAACCATCAGCGTCAGCAGCGAAATCAACAGCAGCAGCAACAACAACACCAGCAACAGCAGCAACATCAATCGAAATCCAAAACATCTATCGACGACAACGTAATCGCCATTGGACAGACATTGGCAGCAGCACACCTTGAAACGAACTCCGACCCCGCGACCGCGTCCACAAATAGTTATCAAATGACTATGTCTAATAATAGCCCACAGTTGCGGCAGAGCGCGGCCAAAGAGCGTGAGCGGGAGCTAGAGAGAGAGCAGCAGCGAGAGCGCGAACGAGAGCGACAGCGTGAGCTAGATCAAGAGCGAGAGCGTGAGCGGAACGACAGTAATTCAGCTGGAGCATTGCGACAGGAGCAGCAGCCAAAAGAGATCGGCCAGCTGGCGAGAGAGGAGCAGCAGCAGCGACGAGATGCGCATAGAGCGGCGAGTGCCAATTTTATTCAAGCGGCAAACGTCGAGCTGTGCACTGTCGCGGAAGATCAGCAAGAGGACGCTGCCGTACTGCAACGCAGCAACAGCAGCAGCAGTATCAGCAGCAGCAGCAACAACAACAACGACAACACCACTAGCAACAACAACACAAGTGACATAATCTCTGGGAACATGGGCCAGACCAGCACCAAGCCCAACGAGTGCACACAGTCGGCGCACAGCTCACGAGCCAGCACGCCACGTGAGTTCCGTGAGTCGATCGTGAGCGAGCCGCAAAGCGTGCCCGTGGCGCCGCCGCGTCACCAGAAACAACAAACGCAACAGGAAGTGCCCAAAATAACTGTCGTCGACTGCAGCTTCGAGCAGAGTCCCAATGGCAGTCCACAGGCGGGGGAGGTGTTCTATGACTTTGAGAGCCAGTCCCCCACCCAGGGCCACTGTCAGGGCCACGACCTTAACATCCAGGAGCTGAACGAGGCACACGAGGAGACGCTCGAGGATGAGGTGTTCGATATACCCACGACGATCTATCAGCAGCAGGCGAATGGCATTCCCCGACCCTGGACACGCTTGACCAATGTCAAGCTGGAGAATGTACAGGAGGAGGCCGAGGAGGATGAGGATGATCCGCAGGCCGAGCCAGAGCCCGAGGACGATGAGCTTGATGAGGCGCTCGATCTCGAGTGTGATGACCGTGGGCGTGGCACGCCCAACAGCTCACGCAAATCGGCGAGCAGCGAACGCAGCGCGCTCAAAAGCGATTCCAATCTCAGCAGCAGCTATGCCGACTCGGGCATCGGCATGGGCCTGGGCGTGGCCGCCAACGAGTCAACGAGCCAAGCAGATCAAAAGCAGCAGCAGCAGCCGGTGCAGCGCAGCGCTGCTTCTATGCAGCCACGGCGTACGCCCTTCGTGCGCGACGGCAACTCAACGTCCACCGACTGCGACTGCGAGGAGCTGCTGCTGCAGTGCGACGAACTCGACGATGAGCAGCAGTTCGACGAGCGTTTGGTGTGCATCGAGAGCATTAGCCTGCCCGATGTCGTTGTCGAGTCAACGACCGTCACATCGCAAGCAAATGCCACCAGCAGCAGCAGCAGCAGTGCCAACAACAACAACAACAACAACAACAACAACAGCAGCAGCAATGGCAACAATGGAGATGGCCATCTGAATATCAATATTACCAACGGCGCCGGCGGCAATAGCCTCGGCAATGTGCATTTCATACCAATACATATCGAGGGTTCAGCAACGGCGGCACGCAGTCGCAGCAACAGTCCCAAGCAGCGCAGCTTGGACGACAGTTGCATAGGACGCAACACCGTGGAGATCGTCGAGGATGGCAGCGTGCTCAACAATCAGGCGGACAATAATCGTGAAGCACAGGAGCTGAGGTAACGTACATGCCTTGTCTAACGTAATTAAGTAACGTATATGCCATGTCTAACGTAATCAAACAACGTATATGCCATGTCTAACGTAATCACGTAAGGTTTATGTCAAGCATAAGGTAGTAAAGTATCGTATATTCTATGACTAACATATTCATGTGATGTACAAGCCATGAGTTACGTAATCACGTAACGTAGCTAACGTAGTCAAATAACGCATATTCCGTGATCAGCCTAGTTACGTAACGTGTAAGCCATGTCTAACGTAATCACGTAACGTATGTGCCATGTCAAACGTATATACCATGCCAACGTAATCACGTAACGTATATGCCAAGTCTAAAGTGATCACCTATATCAAGCTTAACGTAGTATAGTATCGTATATTACATGCCTAACGTAATCATGTAACGTATAAGGCATGTGTTACGTAATCACGTAATGAATATACATAGTCAAGTAACTTATAGCCGTTGTCTAACGTAATTACGTAACGTGTATGCCATGTCTAACGTAATCACGTAATGCATAGGCCATGAAGAACAATATCACATCACGTATACGCCAAATATAACTTGGTCAACTATGTAAAGGACATGTCTAACGTAATCACGTAACATATAGTCAATGTCTAACGTAGTCAAGTAACGCATACATCAAACCAAACTTAGTCACTTCACGTATACGGCATGGCTAACGTGTTCAAGTAACGTATACGCCATGTCTCCCACGTCGCAGTCATAAATCAAAAGAATAAGCAAACAAAAACAAAAGTGAAACTAAGCGATGATCTAATACGTCTCTAGCTCTTCGGCTACTGCTGCTGAATGATTCAACGTTTTGTTTATTGTCTGTGCAGTGCGGCGTATGCGCAATATTTATGCCCGTTGCTCTCCAAAGCTGCTGCAACTGCATTTTCCTTTGTTGCGTCAAATGCGATGCCTTAATTAATTAGCTGATCCCTGCCTCCCGCCCCCCACCGACTTCCCGACTTCTTCCACCACATATTCCATGACATTTGCGTAGCAATTTTCTTGCTGCCATTCATCTTGAGCGCTTTTCCCATTTCTTGTTCTTCATTTATACATATATATATATATATATATTTTGTTTATATAGCAAGATATATGTACTTTGTGGCAGTTTTCCAGCCAAGTCACCTAAAAAGAAAACATTTTTCTGCGCTTTGATTTTATTGAGTTTTTATATTATAAACTTTTTTTCTGTTTTTTGCACATGCCAATTATTATTGTGTGTTCCCAGAGTATGATATATGTATATGATTTCTTGGAAAACATGAAAATCGAAGAGGATTTTTTATTATTTTTTACATGTATCAAAGTAAAGTTTATTTATCATTGTTGCGTAGAAACATTGAAATTATTCAGATTTGATAAATATTAAACAAAAATATTGCTCCTACAATTTGATACCTTGACAAAATTTTCAAAATTTGCCTAAATATTCTTAAAAGCCTTTTCTAAATATGAGAAAAAAGGAGCTAAACCCTGATTATCAAATGTATTTCAAATATTGCTGGAAACTTCATTAAATCGTAGTTGAAGCCATCAATAACTTTTCCCAGCCTTTTGCTTGCCTTTTGACATTGAACTTGGGCAACTCTGAAGATCTCTTAATTAAATACTAATTTATATACATATGTGCTATATTTTTAATAAAGCGTTTGTTTAATAGATAAAATAAAATACGCACTGCAGATTCTTATAGGATATAGCGCTGTTCATCACCGCCAACTATTGGAACTTATTGTTCTTAACAAAAAAACCTTGAACTAACTTGAAAGATTCCATTTGAATCCCCAAATACCACACAGTATATATGTTTATATGTATTTAAATATTTATAACAATGAATTCCTAATAATATTTTTGTTAGTTTTTTTTTTTTATTCTTTAAGTTTGTTTTTTTTTTTTGCATTTGTTTTTCTTTTGCTTTCGCCCTCTTTAAATGTTTTTGTTTAAGCAAAATTAATCTCAATTTAAAAGCAATTATTTTCTTGACTATTACGTATATGTTATTGCGAAACTATTTGTTTACTATATTATACTATATTTTTATTTATGTATGTATTTATTTGTATTCATATCATATAACCACAAATGTCACTTGCCCATTGTTTGGCCTTCATAAATATGACAGATTGTGACAGCCGGTCGGCAAGTGTCTTGACCAGCCACCAATTGTTATATTATACATAGATATATTTATATATATTTGGCACTAAWTATTCACATTAGTATTTATATACAATTATTAAATATTTTATAGAATAAACTGGCATTTGATGGCATGCTGTTCGTGCCCTTCCGTTTTGGGGCGTCGAGCTCACCGTTTGCCGTAAATCAGCTGAAAATAATTTCGCTCGTCATTTGTTGGCAACATGTTTGTTCGCATTTCGCATTTCGTATTTTGTGTTTCCCACGCCGAATTTTCAATAATTTTCATTTCATATGCGCTACGTCAAATGTGCATTGCGAACTCGAGCTGCCTGCTCTAGTTTTTCCGGTTTATTTTGGTTGCTTTTACTTCTCTTCAATTATTTTGCTATCTTTTCTATGCCAAGTGAAATATTTCTAAATTGCAAATGCTTGCAAATGCACACGTCTTAGATTTCTGGAGGAAGGCGGCTGCTCTTGATTTAACAGCTGGCCCATGAAAGTGGCCAAGTAAACAATCTTAGCCCATCAAGTCGAATGTTTACGCCCAGCGCCACGCAATGGGGCGTATGCGTAATTTCGTTAGCGTGCATCTAACTTATGAGCTGCTGTGTTTAGATGAAGTAATTTCATGAACAACTTGGACATAAACAAACTAACTGAGAGAGAAGAAGAAGAAGCAGCAGCAGCAGCAGCAGCATTCTTCGTCAAAAACTCAAAAATAATTGAAATAACTTGCCAGATACATCTGTTGTATCTATGTATCTATGTATCTGCTGTATCTTGTACGCAGCATCGCGTGTCACAATTTGATAAATTCGCCACTCATTGTCTCTCGAGCAGCATCTTAACACTTGCCAAATCGCACAGCTACACGGATACGGCTATACGGATACAGATACAAAAACAGCTACAGCTACAGCTACAGCTATAGAGCTATAGATACACAGATACGTTGTTTCTTTTATAAATAGCTTTGCGCATTTGCACATTGCCGCGCGACAAGACAGCAAATTTAAATAAGTTACATTCAATTAAAACGTATTTTATTTTGCGTTTAATGCAGAAACAAAATAAAACAAGCTAAATGCCAATGCTGACAACGACCTGAACGCCAATGCAATACTCTAACAGGAACAATAAAGTGATATATGTATAACTGATTGATTTATATATAAATATATATATATATTTTGTAAATAATGAATTGTTTATATATAAA